CGATGGCAGTCGTCGAGAGGAATTCAACAAGGACGGTGGCGCGAACCTGGCTGGTTCATCTGCTTTCGGTCATTGCCGGATAATGTGCCTCGTGTTTCTTTGGGCGTCTATCAGCCCCTGGGGCGCCATTGGCGCCCATTATGTGCAACTCAATGTACTGGTACCTCAAGGCTTCAAGACGCGCAGAGGATCGAGAAAGCAATGTTGGAACGAATAATAACGGGGCCAGGGGCCGCTGTTTAACTTTACATCAACGTTATTCGTACAATATTCGTCTGAGACCACTTGAGACCGTCCGAGAAGACACCAAACCGCGATTACTCATCATTCATCTGTTCAACGCTTTACCCCTTCACCGTTCTAGCCCGCGTTGCCGCCGTCTGTCTCAGTTTCCGCTGAGGTGGAGGTGCAGCATGTTCTGCGGCGGCACCTCAGAGATGGGCTCGAGGAGCTCGGGAAAATGAGTCCAGAGTGGCGTCAGCGGAGGCCGGTCGCTGTCCTCGGGGTTGGCCTCCTTAGCCTTCGCGCGCAAGATCGCGTGGTACTCGAGGCATCGAAGCAGCGCCAGGTACCGGTGGGCCTGCCGCTGGTCAAGATACCAAGAGGGCGTCGAGCCAACAAGGCCACCGCGCTTCCTCTCGCGTCTGACAGGGATCGCCATTGTTACCCCGTCCGTCTCATCGTCCCCAGCGGGTACAGTGGCCGATTTGTACCCGCAACATGTGGTGTATAGGATCTCCTCGCCAGCCCGCGCTAGCCGCTCGCACGAGGAACAGGGACTATGGCCAGCGTTGAGACCGGCTGTCCGCGGCGTCGGCGCGGATGCCGACGTCGCTGTCGCGGGTGAAATAGGCGAGGTAGGAGAATTAGGCTCCCCCGCGTCCGCTGCAGGATAGTATCGCGCCTCCCATTCACTGTCCAAATCGTCGCTGAAAGGATCGAACCGTGTTGGATAGGGAAGACGCGACAAAGGGCGGCCTTGGTGGCGAGGGTGCGCTCGCGCCAACCTCAATCGCGTGGGGCAGTTCGGGGGACAGGGTCCCGGACAGTCAACAAAGGGATATATTGCCTGCGAAAGCGGAAGACTATGTGGCTCAAGCGCCGCGGGGAACTGTACGAGCTCCTGGGCGTACGGAGCTCCAGTCTGCTGGGCAGGAAAGGCTCCCGCTTGTTCAAGCATAGTGCCCATAGGCGTTTCGTATGGTGCTCGCGTCACCATCTCAGGTGCCTGATGTGCCGTAGGGACGGGCCACTCGCTGGGGAAGGCGCACGGCGCCTCGTACTCGTCGTTCTGGAAATTGCGAATAGGTAGCCCTGCGAGAGCCATGGGAGGCGAGCTTGGCGTGAACGGCTTCGGCTGCCAGTGATGCGAGGGCAAGCTCTCGACATTGGCCATCCCGAGGGGTGCGCCGCCCTCAGCCTGCTCGGAATGGATCTGAGGCAGCGTCACAGTGGCCGTTGACGCACCGTCCCTCGGAAGTCCTGACGCGGCCTCTTGCCATTGGATCGCCCAGTCCACGAGGTGTCGTTCCTGTGGTTGATCGTGCGCCATCGCCTCTGTCGGGTACTGCCTCGATCCATGCTGCTGCAGGATAAATCGCTCCGCTTCCAGTCCCAGCGCGATCGGGTCGTAAGGCGGCGGGGAAATGGAGGGGTGGTCGTGCTGCGAGGCGGCAACCTTCTGAACGTCGTTGGCTTGGCCTTGAGCCAGAGTGCTCACGGGTTCGGCTAGCTGCTGGTCGTGCGACGACTGAACACCGTCTTTCCCTACCACATCCCCCTCTACCACCAATGAGGACGCATCCGCATGAGTCGTCGTCGGCGACAGAGTCGGATCAGGGCCCGGGCGCAGGCCAGGTGCCTCAACCTGCTGCAACGTGGAGGGTTCCTGAAGAATCCCCGCTTGTTGCTGAAGGCGTCGCAAGGCTGCTCGCTCTCGTCTTCCCGGCCTCGCCTTCCGACGAGGAGCCAGGTCGCCCGGTGTTGGACGGGACACTTCGTCTGTTGCGTTGGACCCCGGCAATGGCAGCACGACATTTGTTGCTCCCAACCGTGCTTCGACAGTGCCATGACTTTGCATCGGGACAGTGGCCTGGTTTTGCTGCTCGGTGGCCGTTTCCTGAAGAAGATCTGCCTCTCGTTGGAGGCGTAGAAGTGCTCGCTCGCGTCGACCTGGTCGCGCCTTTCTTAGACGAGGCGGCAAATTGGGCGTGAAGGGAGGAAAGGCTTGCACTAGCCCGATGCATTTCTGCTGAGTCGGTGCGGCGTACGTATCGCAGAGGGAGGTCGTGTTGCCGGCCACAGCGGGTGGCATGGAGACATGGCGTTCATGCAGGTCAGGAGTTTGGCGAGTTATGGGACTCGACTAACAACTGAAGTTAGATATCCGCAAATGAAAGCTCGCAACACAGGGAAATCGCGCTCACCGTCACACTGGCGTTCGTTGGCGTCGCGGTCTGGTCAGTGGTAAGTCCATGTGCCACCGTCGCTTCAACGCCTCTCGATTGATCGATAACGTGTTTGGTGGCATAGTGGCCTAATTGTACTGGATTTATTCTCGCCTGCTCGCCGAAGAAGAGCACTTTGGTGGAAGACATGATGATTGTGAGCGATGGTGAAGTGAATGTCGAGGTAAGCGTTCAAGTCGGTGCGTGAAGAGGGCGACGCGGGAGTCGTTCTCTCTTATCACTGATCAAGGATCGCATCGGTCCGACGGTTGCCGCAAATGCAACTTACCTTGTTCCCGCTTTGGTGCAATTGCTACGCATCACACACTATCCCCAAAGGTATTTCTCAAGTGATCCTCTGTGCTATCTAGCTGTGACTCACTTCCCTGGATTCTAGCCCGCCACAGCGCTGCCTCGAGGAGGGGGTGGTGGTTTCGACTGCTGGATTTGGGGGTGTCGGTGTGGTTCGTGTGGCGCGGGGTGTCTAGGGCCTGGGAAGTTCGAGCTATATGTTTATCCTGGCGATGTTTGGTCCCTGGCGCTCTTTTACCTTCTGCTTTCTCGAGTCTCTTGCTAGGTCTCTAGTCTTTCTACCGAGGATACATACCCACATTGCAATCCTCCGTGCCTTATGCAAGTCGTTGGAAGTCACGACACCCGCCACTAGAAAGCGACTGGTCTCGGTGCAGTGGCACAGTCGTCAGTAGTTGGCCCACTGTGTCCACGGCGGTTACCTAGGGCAGGTCGAATTTACTCGAGACTGAGGACGGTCGCGAGTGGAGGCGGTGGTGTATACCACAATCTCTTAGAGATCTCGAACGCTAGGGTCTATACGACTGGCCAAACAGCAGCATGGAGTGCACCAGTTCTACTTTATCGTCTCTTGAGCCACGTCTGGCATCTATTCGATAAGGAACCTCTAATCCGACAGTCTCGTGAGCCATGTTAGCTTTGGCTTAACCATTCTAATCCCATTCTCTACAAGGAACGTCAGTTCGACTGTACATGACGCTAAGGTAGGAAACGTCGACAGAGAATGTTGGATTAAACCGTTTGAAGCCGGAGTCATCGCTGCAGGTTGGAACGATTACTAAACCTACTCGTTCGCTTGCAGTATATGCCTCTTCGAGATGAATTTGATCGGGGCCAGGTAAGGCTGATATTAATATATTCAAGCACGGCGGTCTGTATTCCGCATTGTGGCGCGTTGACGTGCGGTGGCTGTCACAAAGCATGCACTCTTAAATGGTTGCAGTTGCATTGGACGAGCATCGCACTTCGATTTGTCGTCTCTTGCGGCAAAATCACCAAGTCCATGCAGTTCTCATCGCCCATGTTCTCTTCTGAATGGCTATAATGTACGTGCCTTTGTGTATTGAGTTCCGCTGCAATCATGTCTGCCAGAGCGGGTATGTGGTATTTGCCTTTGACTCGGAGACGAGCATGACGAATATTCCGAACGAGACTCTGGGCAGCGCCCGGAGATAGGAATGAACGTTTACACATGAGCTCGAGGAAGAGCTCGAACGCAAGGGCAGTGCGCACAGAGCCACAGCTCAGAACTGCAGAACGAGGAGAATCGTGGCCAATTGACGTTCGCCGGAAACAAGCGGAACGTGCGAAGCCACACACTCGCCAGCGCTCTTGACGTGTCGGACCACGACACACGTTTTCCCTACTGCTCGCTCTCACCTATCAGCGCTGAAGCTCGTTGTTTTATGTCTTAGCCTGCTGGGAATCCAGGGATAACCGCACTATTCATGCAGGAGTTCGTCTCCCTCGAGAAGGGGGGCAGTTGCTGCACGAACAGAGTCCTGGTCGACGTCGTTGTAACCTCTCCGATAAGTAATAGGGACATCCAGTAGCAAATCCTATGCAAGCGGTCTTGTCACCACAAACATCAAGGGCAGGGGGCTGGAAATCGTTCTCGATACGAACGCCATGTTACATCAAGGCGCGACACACTTCAAAGAGAAGAACCGAAATCCAGACAACCCCCCCTTCTCTTCCAGCCCCGATTCAGCACGCAAATGTTCGTTCTCCTCTCAGACTCTTCTGGTTTCAATTTGAGTCTGTCATGAAGGACTCGCGGAAGTTAGATGAGTGTGGGACGATGAGGAGATACGTGGTCGCGAAGATACGAGCGCACCGGGCGACGCGTTGCTCATAGACACAGTTATGCGGGTGCGGACGAATTCGTTTCGTTCGCGAACACAGTGGGGCTTACTCTCGCGCGGCGCGGGTGATTTTTTTGCGCTTTAGTCCGACGCTTCTGAATGTCAAAGCGACTGGCGTCAGCATCGGCCAGTAACCCCACGCAAAATTGAAGCCAGGCGAATCCAGACGTCGACAGCGGCTCGCGCGTCCGCCGGGGTGTCATAACGGGTCGACCACGGGAGCAGGTCCGCGAGCGTGGAGTAAGGACGTGTTCGGATTCAGATCCCTTGCACGGCCCCAGGCCTTTGGGGTTTCTTTCTGGGACACGGCACACGGGATGTTCGCCTGCAAGGGTGGTTGGTGAGTGCGTCTCCGATGCATCGTATTGGGCGGACTGTAGTACGTGCCGCCTTTCCAGGCCTGTGCAATAGGAGGCCGGTGACACCTGTATGGGGGAGGTCAGAGCTGATATTCTCGGGCCAGCATCACCCGGACTTACCCGCGCGGCGATGATATGTAACAGGCCTCGCTCGAACAGCGTCCGAGCTGTCCAGGAGCTGCCTACATGACTGGTATCACTTGGCGCGACTCCTGAGCTGAGCGACGAATTAGCTTATATCCGCGGGCACGATACGGGACGTAGGTATCAATATCTGTGCTGAGAATTGTAGGAGTCCCCGCTCACGGACGCGCGGACGAATCGTCCACCCTAGCTGTCGCTAGTCACGAGATTCCTGGTTCCCAGTGCCTTACTTCGTAACGCGGACGCTCTGTTCATGTCTGTGCGTAATTGTAGAACACAATTATGATGGCTATCCGCCTGAGTTAGACCGACCGTTGACCGAAAGCTTGTGTCCGACACGTCAGCCACTTTCTCGCGAACTTTCCAGTCCCGAGACCCTACTCGCCAATGCTGCGTACACAACCTACCAAAATCCCCCCCAGCTTCGATCCACACTCCTATGTTCATTCAGATCAAATGCAGTATTTCAGAGTTCAAGAACAAATGTGAATGTTAGAAATTTCTGCTGAGGCGATCGCCGCATGTAACGCGGCATCTCAGAATATCTTGCACCATGTTCGCTTACAAACCAGAGTTGTCTGGCCAAGTTAACCTTGAATTGCATCGAGAGACGGCACCGGTGTAGTTCATGTCATTGTTATCGACCGCGACAGGTGGCGGGTCGCTTTCGTGGCAACGCCGGAACTCTATTTGCGATAGGCCAACACTAATTTGGGCACGGCCGCGGTGGCTGCTGGCCACCGTGACTCGGCTTTCTCATCGATGTATTCACGCAGGCTGCGGCTTACTGCCAATACAGTCGTCGAACGCACGGCTCGAGAGAACGACAATTGTATCGTTCGGCACGCGCTGCAGCGATATGGCAGCTCGACGAAGATCTGGACTTTTGGCGAACGTGCCCGATAATTGCACGACAACATCGACGACTGTCGGCCCACGCACTGGTCCTGGAATGCTCATCCATCCTCCGGAAAAGTACATGAACAACTCTTCTATGGCCCTGGAATATCTGGACTTGGAAGTTGGGCTGCAAGTTTTCGTTCTTTTAGTGGCGACGTCGTGACGACGGATGATACAGTCCTGCCAGTGGGGCAAGCCAGGCTCGCACATCCTACGCAATCGTAGATATTCAGTCGACAAATCAGGATTGTAGGAAGGACTCGTCGTGGTCGTGATGACCCTGCCCTCCTCCTCGCATGCACTCCACGGATCTGCTCCGTCAGAGTTTTCGATTCGGTGGTGCTATCCCTGAGCCCGCTAAAAACAGCCCCTTAGCCTCCGCATTGCTAGCTGGAAGGCGTGCATATGACTGGAGCGAAGACGGCTCGGGAGGCCTTCTTTGAATCGTTTTGGTGGTGTCAATCTATCGGGACTGTTGCCTCGAAGAACGACGCGTCCTCGACGTGCACGCGACTAAAGGAGCTTCAGTCATGGGTTGCTTAATCACAATCTATGAAGATACCTGACAGGACACCGATATATTTTGGCACTCGTTAACTGGCCCGGCCTGGAGGTCCACTGCGCTGATCTGTAGTCCGTTTTAGCGGTACCTCAGAACCCAGGCAGCCTACCTTGACTTCATCGTGCTGTGTAAATTATCGGAGACGACTCCAGTGTTCCTCGACGACAACGGTCCAGCGCCGAAATTGCCTGGCAACTCACCCACCAGCGTCACTAGTTGAAGGACATCGCTTACAGAAATCTGGCCGTAGCGCTGCAAGCTTACTATCCGACGCTCTCCCAGCGCAGGTACCAGCTGTTGACAGAGGCGGAAGCAGAGACGATGGCAGTCGTCGAGAGGAATTCAACGAGGACGGTGGCGCGAACTTGGGCTGGTTCATCTGCTTTCGGTCGTTGCCGGATAATGTGCCTCGTGTCTCTTTGGGCGTCTATCAGCTCGAGGACGCATTGGCGCCCGTTATGCGCAAGTCAAAGTACTGGTACTTCAAGGCTTCAAGACGCGCAGAGAAGCGAGAAAAAAATGTCAAAATAAAAGGTAGCGGGGCCAAGAGGTGCATTTTAACTTTACATCAACGTTATTCGTACAATATCCGTCTGAGACCACTTGAGACCGTCCGAGAAGACAGCAAACCTATCGCTCATCATTTATCTGTTCAACGCTCGACCCCTCCACCGTGCTCGCCCGTGTTGCCGTCGCCCGTCTCAGTTTCCGCTGAGATGGAGGTGCAGCATGTTCTGCGGCGGCACCTCAGAAATGGGCTCGAGGAGCTCGGGGAAATGAGTCCAGAGCGGCGTCAGCGGAGGCCGGTCGCTGTCCTCGGGGTTGGCCTCCTTAGCCTTTGCGCGCAAGATCGCGTGGTACTCGAGGCATCGAAGCAGTGCCAGGTACCGGTGGGCCTGCCGCTGGTCAAGATACCAAGAGGGCGTCGAGCCAACAAGGCCACCGCGCTTCCTCTCGCGTCTGACAGGGATCGCCATTGCTACTCCGTCCGGCCCATCGTCCCCAGCGGGTACAGTGGCCGCTTTGTATCCGCAACATGTGGTGTATAGGATCTCCTCGCCAGCCCGCGCCAGCCGCTCGCACGAGGAACAGGGACTATGGCCAGCGTTGAGACCGGCTGTCCGCGGCGTCGGCGCGGATGCCGACGTCGCTGTCGCAGGTGAAATAGGCGAGGTAGGAAAATTAGGCTCCCCCGCGTCCGCTGCAGGATAGTATCGTGTCTCCCATTCACTGTCCAAATCGTCGCTGAAAGGATCGAACCGTGTTGGATAGGGAAGACGCGACAAA